ACAGAGAAAATGAGGACAGTGGTCCAAAGTACCTTCAGGAGCACCTTACCCTGCCTCCTCACTGGCCTCTTGCTAAACCTGCTTTTCACCCCAGTGACAAATATGTGACAAAGGTCTGAGCATCCAGCTGATGACGGAGATGGGAGGGATGTGACAAGGAGATGAGGGCTCAGCTTGTGAGAGGCACATAGTGTGTCCCAGCCAGGAGCGCCGACACAGGGACACGCGGTGTGCTGGGTGCTGCAGCTGAAGCCTCCCCCTGGAGAATTCGGGCAGCAGGGGTAGGATTGGCCTGAGGTCACAGAAGGTCCTGATGGTGATGAAACGTCACAGTAGGTTACGTAACTTTCTCAAAACCACCAACTGTGCCTTTAAATGAGGGGATTGTGAGGCATGTTCATTATCCCTCAATAAAGCTGTTAAAAATTAAAGAAGGAACATGGGGCCGAGATAAGCCAGGCGGAAACAGAGCACATGCAGGGACAGAGGCCAGAAGGAAGGAGACAAAGAGGCACATGGCTGGCAGCTGCAGGGAGGCAGGCACAGCAGCCAGAGGAGGGCCGTGGCCCCCTGTCACACAGAGGCTCAGGCCGGCCCCGCCACAGCAGCCAGGCCCTGCTGCAGGAGCCGAGTGAGAGTCCTGACCCCATGCCTAACCGTGGGACAACCTCAGGCAAGTGACTTCCCTTTCCGGGCTCCTGAGATTCACAAACATCCCAAGTGTGCGTGAGACAACGAAGATCAAGACAAAGGAGAAGAAAATCACCCCACGTTAAAAGGCAAAGGGCAGACAAGCCGTGGTGGGAATGGTCGTGGCCACAGACATACAAAACCCACGTGGGAACTCTCACCGCGGTGTGAGGGGACTTGGAGGTGGGGCTGGGGAGGCAATGAGGTCACAGGGTGGAGCCTCATGCATGGGATCGAAGCCCTGATGAAAGAGATCCCACGAACTTCTGCAGCCCTCCCTCACCTAGAACAAGGTCAGGGTCCTTGAGCAGACACCAACCCGCCACCACTGGTGGGAGGGAAACCCAGGCAGCGATCGGGGGGTGGCATGGGGCTGGAGATAGCAAAGCTGTGTGAAGTGGCCTCTTATCTCATGGTGTCACTCAAGCCCTGAGGAGCCCTGTGTGCCAGGCACCTTGGAGGAAGCCTCAGAATTGAGTGAGGAAGTAAGGTCCCCAAGGCAACTGCCCCATGGCCTAGCGGAGAACTGGGACAAAGGGAAAGGGCCAGGCATGCTGGGGGAGGAGCAGGGAGAAGAAGGTTAAAGGGAGGGACGGCATGTGTGTGCATGTGTGTGCGTGTGTGTGTGTGTGTGTGCACGTGTTTGTGCGTGTGTGTGCACGTGTTTGTGTGTGTGTGTGTGTGTGTGTTGTTAGAGTGTGTTTCTTTGCAAAGTACATTCAGGTTGAGACCTAAGTTGGCACAGGAATTCCCTAGAGGAAGAATAACGTAGGAAGAATAATAATAAGGAATTCTAGAGGGGCGGGGGCCGGGAGTGGCTCAGGAGCAGAACTCTCGGGAAGCCGGCGAGGCCCTAGCTTCCATCCCAGCTCTGCCACCGATGACCAAGAACCTCAGCAGAGAGCAGTGGCACAGAAACTGGGATTGGAAAGAGGGTGGGGACTCCCCCTGAGCGGCAGAAGGGCAGGGGCCAGAGACTGGGGCGCTGAGTGGGCCAGAGGCTTTCACAGGGAGGGGCATCATCCGGCCACACAGGGCCCACAGTAGCCCTTGGGGACCTTCCACTTGGGCTGCTGGGGGTCTGTGCCCCGGGGCCTCCCAGCCCAGGCAGGCCCACGGCCCCCCTTCCAGGACAGGGGCTTCTCTGCTCTCGTGTGCTGCTGGGAGCCACTACCAGAGGAGGCCCTGTCACTGAAGCTGAGCCTCAGAGCCCCTCACAGGGCGACTCCTCCCTTCCTTCTGCCATCTCGGAGCCACCAGGCAGAGGGGGGTGAGACTCAGCAGCCCGCACCCCACCCGGGAGGCCAGCCTCTCTGTGGCTGGGCAGCCAGAGCCTAGGGCTCCCCTCATGGCTTAGCCAGCTCTGCTCCCGACTTCCCACCTGTGGCTGAGAGAAGCCAGCCAGACCTTTCCCACAAGAATCCAACAATTGCCAAGAGTTCTACTTCCTGGTTTCCCTCTTCTGTTTGTCTTGGATTATTTGAATATTTTTTAGCTGTGTGCAGTCTGCTTTGACAACCTTTTTTAAAAAAAAAATTACAAAGCTATTTGTTTAGGGGGAAAAAAAAAAGCCTCCTTTTTGTTCCACGAGCCACACCTGGCTTGGTTTCTACTGAGACCGGTCTTGCTGACTCTGTTCCGCCCGGGGCCTGGGAGATGTGATTCTTGGGTTTCCACGGAGGCCTATTTTCTAGGATGCTGTGCCCTAGGGAAGATGTCCCCATCCCAGGCAGGAGTTGGGCATGGACTTTGGCCCTATTCACAGAGCACCTGGAGCAACTCTTTATGATTTCCTAGGACCTGACTCTGAGATTAGGATCTTAATTGAATATCTATTGACCTCTAAGAGCTTGGCACAGCCTGCATCAGCCAGATGGACAGGACAAGACTCGGCCCGAGTAACTACCCAGCCTCTGTGGTCTCCGGGCTGTGTGGCCTGCACAAGTCACCTCCCTCCCTGATCCCTACTCTGCAGCCTCTTCTCAAAAGAGATGCTGCAGTTACACACAGGGTTCCTCCCAGGGCAGGAGCAGCACGGTGCAGGGAAGGCAGGCCCAGAAGGAAACCAGCAGGCCTGTGTGCATGATGTCAGTAACTCCATTGCCACAGAAGTCCCCAGCCAAGCACGTCTGGGATTACCTCACAGCACCTGCACAGCTCCAGGAGGAAGGTACCCCTGACCCTGCCCAAGTCTCAGCTTCCTCCTCTGCCCACTGACTCACCCGTGGCTGGTGAATGGGTCCTGGGATCCTTGCCAGAAGGTCACCTTCACGGCCAACTCTGGACTTCTCCCCAGCTCCCCAGAGACTAGGCTTATGGATGGCAGCCGTGAAGGGGAAACCTGAGGTCAGCCCTTGCCAGCCTGGGCCAGGGCCTAGGAGGCTGGCCAGGTGCTTCCTGAGGGAGGCAGAACTGAACCAAGCAAAACAAGGCCCAGCAAGAGAGCCAGGCAGAGCAGGGGACAGGACACTCAAGCAGGGAAAGGCTGGGGCAGAAGCCTGGGAGGGAGAGAGACAGCTCATTCCAAGTTCGATAGCTCAGAACTGGACTGGCAAGAGGGCGGGCACCATGACTCCCGAAAGGAGACATGAGCAAATCTTCCTGGAAGGACAGCACAGCCTGGGCCTGGCTTGTGAAGCCTCCCAAGCCTCCCAGAACTCTTTGGCCATCCTCTGTAGAAAGCCTGGACTCCTTCTAGGGCCCATGGTTTATCTCTTTTGAAAGAGACCCTTCTGCACGTCCTACGGTCTCAGACACATCACTGGGCACCTTGCTCTCTGCGATCCCATTTCATCCTCACACCCACTCCGCCAGGCAGGAAGACTGTGCCCACTTGGCAGCCTGGGAGAGTGAGGTTACAGCCGAGGGGGTTGGTCGCTTCAGGCCCTGGCTCCTCCCTGATGACCCGTGAGCACCCATGGCCAGGACTCTGGCTGTCCAGAGCCTCCCGGCTTCTCCCTCTGGGCCAGGGGCCCAATCAGCCCTGTGAGAGGAAGCTGAGGGCAGCAGGGGAAGGCATGGAACCAAGATCGGCCGCAGGTGGGCAGCCCTCCCAGCCGCCCAGGAAGTTGGAGCTTCAGGCGAGTCGCCTGATGACCCGTCTCACAGAAGTTCCCAGCCCTGAGAACCCAGCGGCAGGGCTGCCAGCGTGTGCATCCTGTGTTTGAAGACTGAAGTGGTAGGATGAACATCTGCGGTCTTGAAGGGGGGCAGGAAGGCACCAAAGTGAGGAGTGGCAAGAAAAGGGCCAGTCGACCTAACTGAATTTACACTCAACAGAAGCTCTGTGCTAACCAAGACGATGGGCAGGAGGACACACCTGCCACATCTCAGACCCAGGGTTCCAGGGCCCTAGGACACGCAAAAGACAAGCCCCAGGTTAAAATGGACAATTCAAATCTGAAAACAATCATCAAATACACACAAACTGTCCACGAAGAAACAATCTTGTACCACCATCTGGTGAAATATCAGAAAATTAAAAGGTGAGCCAAGTGTCGGCAAAGGGGTGGGGATCGATCAGTAAGAAGGAGCCCAGCTCGGGAGCACCTGGGTGGCAGGGTCACTTGCTTGCGGTTCAAAGGTGTTATGGGCATGAATGGGCCACACAATGGGTCCACACAGGTAAAATGACCCCACAGGCTGGGCCCCGGTGGCGCACGCCGGTAATCCCAGCGGCTTAAGAGGCTGAGGCAGGAGGATTGCGAGTTCAAAACCAGCCTCAGCAATGTAGCGGTCCCTTAAGCAATTCAGTGAGACCCTTTCTCTAAAAAAAATATTTAAAAGGGCTGGAGATGTGGCTGAGTGGTCGAGTGACCCTGGGTTCAATACCCCCCCGCCAAAAAAAAAAAAAGACCTCACAGAACCCTAGGCGGCCACCAGGTGTTAAGCTACCTGATGGAACAGACGGGATTCTTTGGTAAAATCTTTGGGGTCCCCCACCGCGCACCCCAAAGAGACCGCATCTCTCGCTGCGCAGCTGCTTCCTTGCCCGCCCTCCCGTGTCCACGGTGGGCCTTCTCGCCAGCCGCAGGACCCTGGGCCACCGCACACAGCGGGTGCCCACCGGTTGCCGGCGAAAGACCGCGGCACACTGCGCCGCTGGCCGTCCCACGCTGCCCACCCGAGGCTGAGCCGCGCTCCGCCGGAGACTCGAGTTCCCAGAGTCGCAGCCCGAGACCCCGCGGAGCCCCGTGGGGATGCCCTCCCCGGGGCGAGGATGCGGCAGTGCGGCTGGCCCCCGGCTCGCACGGGATCCCGGGCAGGCTCCCGGGGCTGTCCCCACCCGCAGGCGCCCGCAACGCGCTCACCCAGCATCTCCTTGCGCCGCTGCGTGTGCGGCTGGTCGGTGTAGACCCACTCGAAGTCGCTGCGGCCCGCGCAGTTGCCCATCGTGCGTCCGGGAGCGCAGCGCGCGGCTCGGAACTGCTCCACCTGCCGCGGCGCCCGCGCGGCGCCGGCTACTTCGGGCGGGGCCGCCGGAGGGGCGGGGCTCGCGGTGGTGGACCCGGGAGAGCAGCCGCGGTTCCCGCGGTGCCCGAGTGGCTCCGCACCTGGGCGGGCCGCGGTGGCTCTTGGAGTCTCAGTTTCTTTGGCGGGAAAATGGGGCTGTGCGTCCACCCTGGAGACTGCGGAGCGCACACGACCCACCAGCGTCCCTGGATCAGCCCTGGTGGGTGACGCCGGCTGCCGCCCGCGGGCCGCGTCGCCTCGGAACGCACCACTCATTCTCCCCGCCTGGCTTGCCCCAACTAGTAGTCAGGCTTCAAAGCTGAGCGCTGGTTCTGTCCTTGGCTCATACCCCTTGGCGTTTGGGTCTCTGACTCCTGCTATTCCTGCCCACACAGAGGATCCTGTAATAAGTGCCCGCGTGGCAGGGAAGAGGGGACTTGGGAGGAAAGGGCTCAAAAGCATGCAGCAGTGTCCACAAGCAGCTCAGGAAAGGTGGGCTGTGTGTGTCCTCCCCTACCCTCCCCATCACACAATAACCTCCTGGAGGTGAATCAGACCACCCCAGCCTCAGGGAACTTGGAAATCTCAATGGGGACACAGATAGGGAAGTGATTCCAGGTGATGTGTACCATGTCACAAGATAGGCCATGGAATAGCTAGGATCCAGTAGAAGGAGCTTTTGCATTGGGCCTTGTGGGATGAGGAGGAGTTCAACAGTTAGAAAAGCAGGGCTGGGGATGTGGCTCAAGCGGTAGCGCGCTGGCCTAGCATGCGTGCGGCCTGGGTTCGATCCTCAGCACCACATACAAACAAAGATGTTGGGTCCGCTGAAAAACTAAAAAGTAAATATTGAAAAATTCTCTCTTGAAAAACAGAAAAGCAAAAAGTGATAGAGGGAACAGCAGATGCACAAGCAAACAAGAGCCAGACATTCTCCAGGTGGAGAGTCAGTTTTGGGGATGGGGAGACAGAGAGCTTCATTTTTACCTTCTCAAGGATTCCTCTCCTGTCCTTCTGCTCCTTTGGAGCTTGGAGGGTGTACATGGCATACCTCAAGACTCAAGTCTGGCCTCTGCCAGGTTCTGCGCTCACCAGCAGCCAGAGCTACCACAAGGCAGTGATGGCCAGCTTCCCTGCTCCTCAGAAGTCAAGCCCAAGAGTGCCGTCAGCCTGACAGGCCTCCCTCTGCCCAGAGCCAAAGGCAGTCCCAGCCTGAGCCTGCATCACAGCCCAGATCAGCTAGGGAAGAGGGTGGGCACAGAGGCTGGATGCCCCAAACAGCAGGTGGCCCCTCAGAGCCCCGGTCAGCCCCCCACACTACATATACGACAGGGGCACTGGTCCAGCTTGCACACCTCCAGAGACAGAGAGCTCCTTGTTCTGCGGGAAGTCTGCCCTATTCCCAGCCAGGAGGGCCTCAGAAGCTGTTCTACAGCTGCCACTTTACAGGTGGGGACAAAGGCCCAGAGATGAGAAAGGCCTTGCCTAAAGTGGGGGACCATGCTGCAAAGCTGGGCAGGACTCTGCTTCCGACTCCCAACTTCAAGAACTTCCCAAGCAGAGCCTCCAGCCCACCCTGAACTTGAAGGTCTGCCCTGAGATGCCCCCAAGCCTGCCAGCTCTCGATCCCAGGATGGGAATCCAGCAGCCACCCTGCTCTTACCCTGGGACAACACTTGTCCTGGGGATGCTGACCCAATGCTCTCATTTTACAGAGGAGGGAATTGAAGCCCAAGAGGGGACAAGAGGGACACAGAAGTGAGACAAGGGGATGGGATAAAAGTTCAAGGTAAGGAACCTGCAATTCAGTGCCCTTGCCAAGGGATCCTCAGGGCCCCCAGGTCAGCAGGAACCATTACCATCAAGACTTGCCCCAGCCTGTCCCTGGTCTTAGGAATGAAAGAAAAGACATCCATTTGTAAGGCGCCGTCCTGAATAGGATCCTGGAATGGAAGAAAGAGACTGGGTAAAAACTTAGACAATGTGAATAAAGGATGGACTTTCTTTCATTATAATGTCTCAGTATTGGTTCATTAATTGTAACAAATGCAACATGCTATTCTAAGATCTTAAAATAAAGAAAATTGAATGTGGAGTATATGTGAATTTTCTACACATCTTCACGATTACTCTGTAAATCCAGAGTATATAGTAGCAGTCATGCACAACTTGCATCCTGGAAGAGCCTCCTGCCGGTGGTGATGCAGACGTAAAGAGACCTGCAGTTTACAGGTTTACTAAGTGCAGCAGATACAATTAGGCACAGTGTGTCATGCTCGACGAGGACCATAAACCCTGGCTGCTAGTTTATGTATTTACTCTGCCGTACTTTTTATTGTTGTTTTAGTGTGTGGGGGGGGAGCCCTTGCTGGCCAGCCCTGGCTCGTAAACAGCATGCAGAGCCTCTTGATGATGCCATCTTCTTGGGCTCACCATGGCCCCGGGAGCAACAGGCTTCACTAAACACCACGCAGCTCTGCGTGCTGGAGGCAAAACTCTGGGGGTTTGTGTTGGTGAGTCTATCACATTCACACATGATGAAATCACCCCGTGACACATTTCTTAGTACATGTCCTGTGGTTAAGGGAAGCCTGACTATGTGGACATGATCACTGCACCTGATAAGCGCCAGAGGAGTTGACCAACAGGGACTGTCGTGGTTGGAAGCAGAGGACCCCGTGAGGCCAGCCACCATGGCTCCCTGCACTCCTCCACCCGTCTCCTCTGGCAGCACGGAGGATTTTTTGCTGGCTCTCAGAGGGGCCCCATTGTGGCCGTCGGTCAGAGCATTTTGGTATTGGCAGCTGCACAAGGAGACGGAGCACACACACTCAGAAATCTCAGCACACGCAGTGTGTGTTGCCTCAGCAGAAGGTGGTCCTTGCCCCTCTTTCATAGAAACAGGCCAGAATGCATTCCAGACAGCCCCTCCCACGCTCCCAAGCCAGCAGAGTCAAGCAACCTTGACGGAGAGTTGGTTGAAATCCCAGCTATGTCACCCCACGAAAGAAGAGCAACCAGCCCAGACAGGGGGAGGACCTGCCTGTTTTCCTGGAAGACAGCTACGAGAGGGCAGAACTGCACGGAGGGTGGGGGACCTCCCAGAGACACCAAAGGCAAGGCATCCATTACAGAGACCCGGCCGGGCGTGGTGGCCCCCACCAGTGATCCAGGAACTTGGGAGACTGAGGCAGGAGAGATAAATTCAAAGCCAGTCTCAGAAATTTAGCAAGGCTTTGTCTCAAAATAAAAAATAATAATTGCTGGAGTGTGGCCCAAAGATAGAAGCCTCGGTTTCAATTCTCAGCACTGCAAAATAATAGCTGTAGTAGTAGTAATAATAATAATAGGATTGGGGGGCTGGGGATGTGGCTCAAGCGATAGCGCGCTCGCCTGACATGCGTGCAGCCCGGGTTCGATCCTCAGCACCACATACCAACAAAGATGTTGTGTCCGCCGAGAATTAAAAAATAAATATTAAAAATTCTCTCTGTCTCTCACTCTCTCTCTCTCTCTCTCTCCTCTCTCTCACTCTATCTTTAAAAAATAATAATAATAATAGGATTGGGGCTGCAGGGTGCTTGCCTAGCTATGTGTGAGGCCCTGGGTTGAGCCCAGCACCACAGAGAATAAAAAGTCATACTAACTAAAAACCGTTTAGAAAAAACAACCCTCTGAGGATAGGCTGGAGCTCCGTGGTAGGGTTTGTGCTTAGCATGGCGGAGGCCTTGGGTTCCATTCTGAGCATCAAATAAATAAGTTTTAAGGAGCAAACTTGTCTGCTGAAAAGGATCAGGGTTTCTGGGAGCAGAGGCACGGTGGGTGTCCTGTGCTGCCCAGGCTCTTCCTGGATGTCCGGTCTCTGCAACCCTGATAACAAATAACAATCAGTGACACCTAATTATGGCTATCTAACTTGAAATGAATTAGCATAGCTGCATTTGCTTACAATGATGCATTGCTTCACCACACGGCCATGTTCTGAGAATTCCTCCATTAGACAAGTTCTGAGAATTCCTCCATTAGACAATTTCCTCATTGTGTGAACACGGCCCAGTGTGTCCCACAAGCTGGGGTGGTGCAATCATGCTCTGGAGACATTACATGCCCAACTATTCAACAGCCAACCTTTCCTTCTGTAAGTAGAAGAGGTACTTTCTAAAATAAAGATAAGAAGCATGCCTTGGCGCTGCATGCCCAGTCACACGGGCTCATGGTTAAGCCTCCTGCCCTGGGCAGAGTGGCATCGCTACACTCTTTTTCTCCTTTGTACTAGGGTTTGAACTCAGAGGCACTTAACCACTGAGCCATATCCCAGTCCTATTTTATATTTTATTTAGAGACAGAGTCTTACTGAGGTTTTAGGGACTCACTGACTTGCTGAGGCTGGCCTTGAACTCATGATCCTCTTGCCTCAGCCTCTGGAGCCAGGGGGATTACAGGTGTGGGCCACCATGCCCTGCCATTGATATGCTTTTATACAACTGGCAGCACCATAGGCTTCCTTACACCAGCGTCACCACACACACGTGAGGCATGCTTCTGCTACGTCATTAGGTGACAGGAGTTTTTCAGCTCCATCACCATTTTACGGGACCGCAGTCTCATATGCATCTTCAGCTAAAATGTTATGTGGCGTGTGACTGTGGATGGCATGTTCCCTCAGCTAGTGAGTCTTGTTCTCTGGGGACCACCCTTGGTGTCCCCAGTGCCTAGAATGATTTCTGGTAGAGAAGATGCTCTTAACAACAATTTGCTAAAAGAATGAGTGATTCACACAGAAGGAGTGATGAGGGACGAGGCAAGAGTGTTCAGACCGAGAGGCTCAGGGTGTCACAGCACTGAAACCTGCCCCCACCACTCTGGAAAACCCTTCAGCAATATCCCCTAAAACTGTGCACATATCTAACTGGGGTCTAGGAATTCCACTCCAGGTCTATAATCAAGAGAAATGACCACACAAGTTCCAGCAGAAGACCTGAGTAGTAAGAGTCCGCGCAGCGCCCCTGGG